ATAGCATAATGCCATTATATTAACAACAGCCATCTGCATAATAAAGGACGTAAAACCCATATCCTGAATTTTCCGATTTGCATGGGATGATTGTTTTTCATATTACACTCTTGCATGCAATTATACGTAAAAATATAATACTGTAAGCAATAATTTATGAGAGAAATAGTACCTTCATATGAGCGGCGCCCAGATACCGTTGTTATGTCATTACAAATGTAAATACTACGGAGGTCGTCATAGTAATTTTCTGCTGTTGAAGATTACGATAGCTGATACAAAATTTATGATACAGAAAGTGACAGATATAGATAGCGTATTACACTCGAAAAACACTAGTGAACTGAGTGAGCTCAAATCACAGCAGTTGTCTAATTTTAACTGTAACAATTTATAAGCGCTAGTACGATATCGACACAGAAATATTTTCATGGATGTCTCACTCTTTTTAATCTATATAATATTATTATCTGTAAATAGAGATATCATAATAACGAGCCGGAATACAGTTTCATTACAAATAGCAACAAAGTAATATAACCAATTTTTTATTTTTATTTACAGAACATCGTTAACCGCACTTACTCAATTTCATTGGTGAAAAAAGCACAATCATTTGTTTTCTTTCTTTCCCCCAAACATTCTGTAACAAATTCACAAAGAGACTTTAATATTTTTCACTGTAACGTAATTTTTAATTTTGTAACGTAATTTTTCGTTAGACATTGTTTTGGAATGCTTAATTATAAAATAACAACACGCAAAATGACAATCGTATAATAAAATCTTAGACCCGAGTTTTTTTAACTGAAATAGTTTAATGCATTTTTATATGAGAATATATAATGCATAGAAAACTATAATCACTAAAAGAAACAAATATTTGTTTCAAAAGCTACTGTAATACGTAAAAATCAGAAGAGATTTCACTATAACTATCATATCTACGGACTACTCGACTCCGAGTAACATTAAATATTATGCTTCTTAGAAGCCATTATAACGCCACAGCATAAAATAAGAAAAAGGTGCCCAAGAAGCGACTTCTTATGAGAGAAGCGTGAGACAGCGGTGGGGCGTTGAAATATTTCTGAACAACCGGTGAAGTTATCTAGCTAATGGACGCCACTCGGCATTAACAGCCGGCGGACTTACACTTCCGCGGGCAACTTCGGCCACTTCTCGTATCCTTAATGTTTTGCAAACATCCAAACTTTCGGTGACAACTGACTCGCCATGATAATGCTTTTTAGGGTGGACCCGTTGTACCAAAATTATTGTCAGTGACCTGTTTCAAAATTTAATTATTTTTTTCTTAACTTTGTAATTACTTGTTTTTATATCAACTTATAACTACTGTAGAATGATTTTTTTTTGCTTGTTTTTTGTTGTTGAATAAGGAAAATAATAAAATTATAAATACATAAATACACGTTAATATAATAAGTTAGTACCAATTATCGAGTCAAAAATAATCATCTAGTGATGACCCGGTGTACTTCGTATCACCTTTCGCCGTTTTAATCTTACCTGAACTACGATAAACATTTCAAAGAGAAATCGGCTAGATCCACCCAGCCATACTCGAGTTCTATAAACACAAACGAAAATGAATTGATTTTGAGATATTTAAACCTTTTTTATTGGTAAAATCTTTGATTAGAACCCAGTAGCGCCATCTGTCTGCTTATGAAAACAATGTAACTGTGATATTTTTATTAATGAACACGTAAACACCATCTATCGGCACTAAAAATAAAGTAAAGCAAACGCACCTCTGCCTACAATAAAAAAAAAATCACGTGAGTGAAATGAGATCATATATTCAATTCCAAACCGAATTCTAAACGCAACTCAAGTTATCCGAAGCTCATTTCAAAAATTAATCAATGTCCAAATTAATGTAAAACAGGAACAATCGATAGATTAAATTGCATGCCATCCATTTTCAACTGAACAATATTAAACCGACCATCAATAAACTTACCGATTAGGCCATTACGTTATACAATGGTAATTATTGTCTCGTTTTATATATTTCGTGAAAAGTCTCCAAAGTTATTGTTGCTCGTTACTCATCTGGGCAATAAGCGTCAAAATGATTTATTTCCTTCTTACTTATTGGAACGAGACCTGCCTGTGATTCTTTTAAGTAGGCGTCACGTTAAATTTATTTGTCTTCCACATTCTTGGTCGTGTAAAATTTAAATTGGAATCCCCCAAAGCTTTACACAGTTTTTTTATTTATGATATTAACAAAATTTTGATACGCAATCTTTTATTGTTATTTATCTTAATACTAGTCGAAATTTACGTGCCACTTGAGGGCCTATTCTATTTGTCCACCAATGGAGATTCGGAAAATTTCCAATTATTCTTATAATTTTGTTAAATTCATAACCAGGTCCTATTCACCTAATTTTTCAAAAAATGCGTTTCTTTAGATTACTTTAGCATTTCGAAATAGACCAAATTGAATTGGCCTTAATCCACACGAATAGTATATGAGACTTATTTAAAACATTCAACAGTGTCAAGTACCAAAGACGATATTCGACATCTCCTAACCTTTTACTGACTAAGTAAGAGCATTAGCTAGTTAGCTTAAGATCTGCAATGCTATTCTGTAAAAAATAAAAATGAACTCGACGTTGAGCAAAGGGTAGAGGTTCAATCAAATAAAACCTACTTTAAAAGGCAAAATAGACTAATCAATGCTGACTTTATTACGTAATAAGGAAAGCTAATGTATTTATAACCTGTAAGTAGTATAGCAGTTATTTGTACTAAAGTTTGATTTTCATTCTATTCCAGTTTTATCAACGGAGGTGACAGATGAGGCTAACGTTGAGCCGTATCTGCATGTTATGGTGCGGCCCACTACCTTCAATGCAGGAGAACGCAAAGCGATCTTCTGTAAAGGACAAAACCTACCAGATGTAAGTCCAAATAAATTTACAGACTAAAAAAAATATTATAACCAATTCAAAAAGAAGGGAGAAATAATCCACAAAAATCTACATAGGTTGTTAATTCAATAAACGCAATTTTAATTCGGGCAAAGATTATATGATCGTCAATTCATTGAATTTGATAATAGTTTGAAAAGTTTTAATAAAAAAAAAAACTTTTGTAACAATGCTATCATCAAGAAAATTGTGATGTTTACAGTATATTAATATAAAACTTTATAAAACTTAAGTTATTATTAATCTTCGACGATAATTCATTTTTTCACCAATATCAATTAGTTTTGATAAACGATATTTGGGACAAAAAATAAAGGAAAATGGCAGTATGTTTCGACAACCAAAATGTTCAAATCCTTTTCTTTGTCGTAAGAACACCGTAATAAGTATTTTAATAGAAAAAGGGATATCTCTTTAGTCCGCTCGGGGGTCTGGACACAATAATATCAACCAAATCCAAATTAACTTAGTTTATTCAATTTGGTTGACCAAAACCGTACTACGAATATTATATCTAAACTTGTTTGTTACCTTTTCGATAAAGGCACGACGAATTTTAATGAGTTTCCAAATATTATAACTTCACAAAGAACGTGCACATCAAGCCCAGTCATCACTTGAACTAGTAAAGTAGCTTTAATTTAAAATGTCGCCCCTTTATAAGACTATATTATTTAATGGTTGGGCTATTGTTATCCCGAATGAATGAAAATTAATAATGATTTATTTATAAATCTATAATTTCTGAGTTTTACCTTGAACTTCTGTAACTACTGTAAAATAAAGTCATTTCCCTTTGTCTGTTTTGAACTACACTATGGATTTCAGTATAGTTTTCATCTATTACTTATTATATAAAAAGTTAATCAAGGGAAAGATTTATGTGTACAATACAAGATACACGCGGGCGGTAAACTAGTATGTTATAAATTTAATTTTAAAAAATACTACTGCCAAATTTCATAGATCAACTGGAAGTTCTAGTTCTATGTTTTATGCATGGATGATCGAGAATCCTATCGGATGTGATGGCTGATTCACCGATACCTATTATGAATCACCTTCAGTTCTGTTTTGGCGCAAGAAATATAAGTTTTATTGAGGCATGTTTTACATATGAGATGATTCGGCTAAAGCCTTCTAAACTTGACGCCATATTTTATATTAACATAAACATTCCATCTAATTGAGCCTTCGAAACTCAATGGCAATATTGTTATTAATAAAATATATCTTAATTTAAAGAATTGAATAAATCTATAAAATTGAAGTAGTTTAATAGTGAAAACTAAGTCATGAAATTGCACAAAAACTAAAATGTACGTAGTTATAGAAATTCTGATTCTGAGTCTTAAAATCGCACGGTTATTTTAAAATTAAAAGACTTATTTTTTCTGTGTGTCACGTGACTTGAAACCCGTCCCGCTATTGTGTGACGTCACTGTGACTAATCGTATGAATTATAAATCAAATTCCTAGATAGCGCTGTTCTTGGCTTATATATATCTTTTTATTTCGTAATCAATCGTTACATGGCATTGTTCTTGTTTTATCAACATTTACTTATGTCATATTCTATACATCAGTTTTGTCTACATATTACAGTGAAGTCATGAATATGATGGACAGCGTTTACGCGGGTATAAAAAAGTTAAAATTTTGATTTGATTTTAAGGCAACAAAACATATTTATTTCTCCGAAATATTAGTTTTATGGCTCTTTTAAATTAAAATAAACAGTTACAAGTACGAGTATTATTTCAAACGGTATAGAATAGCCTATTGTAGCACCAAAATATTGGCGAGTAAACATTCTGTTTCTGTAAAATAATAAATAAGATTTTACAAATTTTATTCATCTATTTTAAACAATCTTATATATCTTTAAACAAATGTTAATTTACGCAAATAAAGGAGGTAGAAAGTTTAACAATAATATGTGTCTTTCAGAAAATCAACTGGTATTCACCATCTGGGAACATAGTCGGCGATCGTTCCAAAACCAACAATCGGGTTTACGTCGAACGAAAAATGGATAACGGCATGTTGTTGGTGCCGCTCATTATTCACGAGGTGAAAGTTGAAGACACTGGCAGCTGGACCTGCAAAGCGGGCGAATATAACGAGACCATAGACATCGTTGTTGGGAGTAAGTCGATATAGCTTTGATGGCTTAACCTAGAGATAAAGATCTCCGATCATTCATCTATCATTATTAAATCCAAAATTTGGTACACAATTTTTGTTGTGATATCAATACAACTACTTGTAAATCTAGGATGACCGCCGACAATTTATACATACATTTCTACAGCCTCGTCGATATACATTAATGGACAGTTTAGTTTTAATTTTGTACCTATTCCAAAACAATAAAATACTTTACATTTAGGTATGACTAACATAAGTAATTTAAGCCAAGCAGTTCTTTTAACATTAAGAATTTAATTTAGATATATACATGGCTAACTTATAATTAAAATAAGTTGACCATCGTGTAATTCGTAATTTTTCTTAGATATAAACCAAATGGTTTTCTAAATTATCAATAATTAATTGTCTTGGTTACAGAAATATTCATAATGCTTTTACTTAACCTTCAATATGTTTACATTAAAAAATATTTAATTACAATATTGCAATACTTTTTCAGTTAAGGTTAAATTCCACACTAGACAAACTACCATGGAAGGCGATGAAGGCAAAAACGCAAAGCTTACATGTGAAGCCAAAGGACATCCATTGCCAGTCATTCAGTGGTACAAAGATGGAAAACTTATTACTGGTATGTAGATTATTATGTTGTTATTTCATCAGCCGTACGATGCACATTTTTGGACCATAGGCCTCTCCTATATTCCCCCACGACGGTGGGTTGACCACATCCAGCAGATTCCCGTGACCCTTAACATATCGCCGTTCCACCTGGTGGGACTTATCCACCGAGCGTCGTTCGGTATAATTATTTATCGAATTCATCAGCCGTACGACGCACTTTGTTGGACCATAGGCCTCTCCTATATTCCCCCACGACGGTGGGTTGTCCACATCCAGCGGATTCCCGTGACCCTTATCAGATCGCCTGTCCACCTGGTGGGACTTAGCCACTGAGCGTCGTTCGGTATAATTATTTATCGATTAACAAAACTAAAAACCGTGTTGTGAAACCAAAAAATAATTAAATCTAGTAGGAAGCAAGTTGAAATAAGTTCCTTTTGAAGTAAGCTTCACCAGGTTTTCATTTTGTAGTATATTAATTTGAACAGACTTCAAAAGAAATTCTTGACCGTATATCTAGTCATTGCCGAAGTTAAATAAATGAAAAATAACGCCTAATGTGAGTCGGACTCACGCACGAAACCCTACCATAAAAAACTCATTCGTTGCATGAGAGCACCTCTTAAATATTTATTTTATTCTGTTTTGTTTAGTATTTATTGTTATAACGGTGACGAAAAAAAAACATCATCTGTAAAAATTATTATATCCGACAATATGTTTATCTTGCCACTTGTTTAAAAATCCGAAGCCAAAAAATGTTTTCAAAATAAACATTTTCAAATATATAAATATTTCCTATGTTTCTTGAATTTTCAGATAAAACCGATCCAAATAAATATGCAATGAGGAAAAAGGGAGACAATTACATTTTGGAAGTGAAATCCTTGACTTACCAAGATATTGGCGAATATCTTTGCAAAGTCACACAGAAAGCGCTGTCATATTACACGGATAAGACTATACTGCTATCAGTCAAGCGTACGTATTCACAAGTTTCACGTTATACGTTTTACGTTCATTGACCTCATCTTTAAGATTCTTGAGTTGCTTCTCGACCTATATAATGTTGAATAATAAAGTTTTTATTATTTTCTGAAGCTTTGAAGGTTTCATGTAACAATTTATCCAGTTATTTAAATAGTAAGGATTATAACTTCCAATATGTAGGCGTAAAATAAAAATTGAAATAAGATTATTTTAATTAGTTTACAATAAATGTTGGTTCCATTTTATGTGGGAATTATTCTGTCGATTCTGTTATAATATTCATTTGCGAAGTGAAGACATTTAAGATACTAAGCTGGATTCTTACCAGCGGCTTATCGTTAACAAAGCCTATAATACCAGATAATACTCTTTCAAGGACTGAAAATCTAACGAGAGTGAAAATTTATAGTGCCTACTTGTTATATTTATTTTCTAGTAATAATTTCCTAACCAACATAAGGTAACTGAGACAGATATTGTTTTCAAGTAATTTGTAAATTTTTTATAGGTTTCATTGTTATCATGCATTTTCATATATAATTTTTGACATTATTCAGATGCACCTGTGTTGGGAACATTCCAGACTGTTGAAGAATATGCAGCTCTTAATGCGACGTAAGTTATATTATCTTCTTAATATGTATACATTGATCACCAGTGGTCGGAATTAGGTAGAGTTATTCATGTACTTACACTGATTTCATACAGCGAAAGAATAAAGTAGATATGCCTCAAATCCCGAGATTAATTTTAAAGAGCAGAAAAAATCCCGTGATTTAAAAAAAAAAAGTTATTTACTTTTACACAATTTAAATTACTGCACGCACGACGTTGCCAAACTTACATCAATGACATCGGATGTCCAAAGTTGCAAAATACCAATACGCGCGATGTTGCCACATTTGTAGGGAAGGTCCACATTAATATTAACATTTCGATGCAAGTACATAAATAACTTTACCTAATTCCGACCTCTGTTGATCACACTCCTTTGCCATTGTTAGATTCTATGTCATTTAAAATTATGGATCATTTATTTCAATGGTGAAAGGGATGTTAACTAATATTTGTTTGTTTATCTGTCGGGTAGTTTACTAAAGACTATTTACGCTTACTTTTTATTTTATCCATAATCTATAAATTAAGGCAATAAGTTGACTTTAGACAGCTTACATATCAATGGCTAAACTCTGCTCGGCCCCAACGGGATAAAAGCTGAGGTCTATCTAAAGAAGCCTTAATATCGGACATTTACAAGAGCATCCCTTGATACTTTTATACGATTACATTACATTAATTCCCCTAGAGAACTTTTACTACTTACAAAAGATGATATGTAACTAATTCCAATCTATTCTTCGACTTAAGATAACAGTAGCGTATCATATTGCCTTGCCATAAAATTAATGATTCAGAATTTATATTTCAAAAAGTCGATTTGAAAAATTTTACAATTCTGAATAACTGAAATGCTTAAGTTTTAGGTATTTTCAAATTAATTTTTTCATTCACAGCAAAAATATCACGTGCAGTGCTATCGCGAATCCAACACCTACTTATAGTTGGTACAGGAGACACAAAACCTTTGATACTGCAATTCCTGAGGAAGAAACGGTAAGTAGGTACAGTACCCGGCATGTAAGTGCTATTGGTCACCCAACCTATGACTGTTATTTCCGCATCACATACCGAATGTACTTACGACTGTGCTATAAAGTTTTGTGTATGTGATTATAATTAACCAACCGACCTCAATATAAGTTTTTTGAATAAACGCCTATTAGATTAACCTTGCTTGCTTAAAACGACAAAATCTAAACTATTTTATTGTCATTAAAAATACACATTTTATGTTAGGCATACGTATAGCGTTACTTATAGTGAGTTAATTTAATTTAAAGCTGAATAAATAGCTGTGCCCACGACTTAGTTCACGTTAATTGAAAATAAAATAGCCTTAGTTACTCTTTATTACATAAGTTATCTGCTAGTGAAAGTCCTGTCAAAGTCGATCCCGCCGTTCCAGATTAGCCGGAAAAAAAAAATAAAGTACCGAAAAACCGTATATAATTTAGTAAAAAGCTGCTATTTTAATATTGCAAACAGACACTCCAATTTTATTTATTTGTATAGATTTATACCGCTGAAGACGGAACTTCGTCAACTTTGATGCTCAGAATCTACAGTGAAGAAGACTTCGGCCAGTACACGTGTAAGGTCAGCAACAGCAAAGGCAATAAAACGGTCATCTTCGACGTGTCACTTGGAGAAAGACCGACCCCACCTGACGATGTAAGCTTTCAATACACTTCATTATAAATTTTATTTATTAAGAACAATCAGTAACGTTTAAGCAAAAAATTAATCCCAATCTGCCTCGCTATTCTAAACTTTGTGCTCATTCCCATAGTAATAGTAGTTATTTACCCGATGATATTTTTTATCAAATCCCGAAGGTACATCCCATCCAGAAGGTATCCCTTCAAATTATTTTTTTTTAACATAATAATTTCTGATTATATTTGATCAGGGACCAAATATATTCATAATATAAATTTAACTGTGATATTTTAGTTAGTTTTATAGATAATTCAACAATATTCGCGTGAGTTTTATGCAGTAAAAAATTTTGAGAATGTTGTAACAGCTAAAATAAAAAACTCTTTGGTATCAAAAAGAAAAATAAAGAACGGCAAGATTTGTAATACGTTATTACATAATATGGCCGAATATGGAAGCATGAGGGTATAACAGAGCTAGGAAGCTAGGACACAAAAAAAAATAGAACAGTGTGACGGGTTCGATGCTTAGACGAATTAATGAAAAGGCTAACTAGCTTGGGAATTGATTTATTTTATGGTAATAATGGGTAAAGAAAAGAAACTGTAACAAACAATAAATGAATATAAAAATAGTTTGTATGTTTACCTAAATATAAAATGAAAATTGCTGAATAAAACAAATACATACCCCTTTTTGGGTTTCTTAATAAAAACTTCGACGCTATACAGAATATAATTTTTCTATTTTAATCACATATATTCATTATTTTAATATTTTTTATACGATTTAAAATAATATGTTCACAACAGAAGAATTTTTTTGATTAATCAAAATTTCAAATTACGAAAGGTGAATAATTAAAAGAAATGATGTTGAAACAAAAAGTTTGCATGCTAAAACCTAGGACGAAATAAACGGTGGTTCGGCACATCGTTACAACAGGAATAATCAGTTGATTCGCTTATGTAGAAATAACTAGCGACGTCAAATTTATATAGGAAATATAAGTAGATAAGTTAGGTGTTGTCGGAATGAGAATTTCAAGGTCCAATTGGAGAGGAAAGAAGACTTCCTTATAGATGGAATTAAATAGGGTGAAATAATGGCATAAATCCTTAATTAATCAATACAACTTGTCTTTAAATTTCCAGGTTACTCTAATCGCTGCAAACGCCACACATTTGACATTTAACGTGTCCTGTGAAGCGTGCCCTATAAGGAGGAGCGACAACATTTCACCAGATCCTAAAAATCTCACAGTTATAGGTGACTTAACTATTATCAAGCTTATTTATTATAAACAACACACAATAATTAAGTACCTACTCTTTAATGTGACAAGAGTAAAAACAAATGGTAGTACAGGTGAAAAAATAGTGTACAAGAGGCAGAATTACTCTGATTTTACGAAATACCAAGACAACAAAACGTAAAGTATTTGCATTACATTTCAAATTTTTTTAAACGGCCATAAGACAAATAAACAACAGAAAAAGAAAACATGCAATCAAATATAACATTTATCATTAGAGCCACAGGTATTAAATTCAAGCACATCCTTATGCCTTCCTACTCTATCTACAAAATATTTCTATAAACTACGAGATGGTGTTGAAAAAATTATTTTACCGACTTAGACTTAGTTGTACTAACTTACTTTAACAATAACAAACATGTCAAAGTACCGGATAAGCATATAATAATAAGCTATCAATTGTCAATAGTCGGATGACGTCATAACTCTAACTATAAAGTAAGAGTCAATAGTTATGTAAGACCGTTATTTTCTTTCATTTAGAATTTTTAAATTTTTTCTAATGAAAGCTACAGAGCAGCAACAGCTGGGGCGTGAACATCCCAAATTCCCAATACACACTATGGACATACGGTTCATCTTCGTAGGTAACCTTGTACAATTTACCTCCTTTGTAAACCGCTTAATAGGCGGTAACTCCAATCTTAACTACACGTTAAAAGCATTAAATAATAGTTCTATTACCGTTACATGAAAAGACGCTATCGACTCTATAACATATAATAAAACGCGTTCGAGTTAGCTTCTTTTTATTATATTTGATTAATTTTGCTTGAAAAATTCGTCATTTCTGTTAGGTCTTGGGTAGCTTATTGTTTGAGCAATCCAGGGACAAAGTGGATTTTTTAAGCATATTTGATTAAGAATAAGGTTCTTTTTTTTCAGGGTTCGATTTCCAATTGACAAAAGTTGTCGATGACTTCCCTCCTGACTGGGAATCAGCGTATACATTCGAAATGTTAATCGACGATTCAGAAGGTAATGTTTGAAGTTATGATTTTCATCTACGGTTTTCATTAATTTATTGATATGGATAATCTGCAGCATATATTATAACATATTTCAATATTTATTTCAATATAACCTACCCTTAAACTGTTGTCATTACACTGGCATATTATTATTTTTAAGAACAAGCTTTCCGCTTGCGGCTTCATTCTTTATCTTGATGAAAACTGCTTAAAAATCAGTTGAGTAGCTTAAAAGATCTCAGCGCACAGACAGCAGGATACAACTTTGTTTTATAGTCTCTATGGATAAATAATATTAGACACAATCTTAAACATTGCTTAGATCCAAAATTAAGTGGCATTTACACAGGTCTTGTAATAAGGAGAACGTTCTAGTGAGCATTACTGTTAAACAAAAATATGTTGGTCGAATCGAAAAATTTTGTTCTTGATGTCTGACATTTTCGTGAAGAATATATTAGAGATGTCTGGCATATAGAAAAGATAAACTTTGTTCGTGGATCAATTCAATAAATTCATAAACTACGAATACTCGATGTTATGTTACAACTGAATTCTCAAATCCGTCATCGCTTCGAGTAATCCTAGGTGATTTAGATAAATCACATCATCAGCCCTTTTACGTCCCCACTTCGGAGGCTCAGGCTATCCTTATGAATGGTTATAGAAGATGGGCAATGACCCTCCACGCTGGCCCACTGTGGATTGGAGGGTATTAACGACTGCAAAAGCAGCTGGGAGCAACGGCTTAACGTGACTTCCGAAGCACGGAGTAGCTCTCGATAATAATTTTAGGCGACTGACCCCTGCGAAAGTCGCTTAATAACAACGATCGCAGGCCGCTGTGGTTATTCACTGTACCACCGAACGACTCCCCTCCTCTTTATCGAAAAATAGATAGATAAATTGTTGGAAATATTAAACTTTACAGATACAGTATTCGAAGTAGGTGAGCTGTCTAATATGACGACCTTCCACGGACGTGTTCGCACCCGTAACCTGGCTGGAGTATCGGATTGGTTCGACATCCATCCTGACCCATCCACTACCTCGTATGCGAACAGCATCGACATTAGTCTAGCGATCCTTATCATAGCCTTTATCACCACCAGATATTAAGCTAATATTAGGGCTGCCAAATCACTAAGAAAATGCTGTTAGCATAACCGAAAAAAAAATTTTTTTCTCTTAATATTTGCTCTGTGAACAATTCTCTGGTAGTATAGTTGGCGCTTTGTTTGTACCTGATATAACTGTTGTTGAAGAGCGGAAGCCCCCTAATATTTTTAGGTACAAATAATAGCATCGTTTTCGCACGACTTATTAAAAATATTAATCATATTACATTATGAAAAATTAACTGTTTTTAGATATCAATAAAGTTTTCACATAATGACATCAATTTTATTATAGTTCATATAAACATATTGCTGATGACTTTTTTTCGGCCGCTAAAACAACTAGGACTTCCAAATAATTAAAAAACAAGAACATTTTATGATATTAACATAACTTAAAACTTATGTAAAATCGTGATCGTAATCAATGTTTAATCATTATTTTGTGGGTATTTGGTAATTTAACATAAAAGAGACTGAATTTTAGATTGGCGCGTAATTTGTCAAACCTTTTAATTTGCCTTTAAATTGTTTTCTAAGAAAATTACAATATTCTAATTTAAGTGTCAATCAATAATTTGGCAGCCCTATTTAATATAAAGAGTGCTGTAGCGATTGCATTTAAAATGTTGAATAAGGTGAGCGGAAATTAAGCTTTTGTACCTAATCATAAAGTTTAATATTATAAATAATGTGGCGGACTTTCAGTGTGCAAGCCAGCGTTATTGGATGAGAGAATGAATTCAATGGTTGGACATAATTGGTCTTAATGTTTATTTCGAGAAATAATAAAAATGACATAATGTAATGTGAACTATGTTATGTCCACAGATAAGAAACAGACGTTACAATAAAATGAATAAGAAAGATACTTCAAAACTACTTCTTTCGCTTTGCTAAATCATATTGATAAAGAATACTAATAAATGTTACCTAGCTACCTAATTATGCAGCTAAAAAATATAAATAATTCCCTAATTATGTGTTGGATTTATGTTTTCGTGACTTTCACGTCATGAAACCTTTATACTATTAGCACAACAACGTATTTGCATGCGGCAGTGATTAAAGCTCACGAAAAAGTGTAACTTTAAAACGCAGCGCTACGCATAGGTATATCGCTCTACAATTTAAACAATATAGAGATAGTTGCATCTTTGCTAGTTCTGTTAAATGGGTACTTACGGTAATAAATTCCACACGATCTTATTTCACATCCCGAAACATGAATGTCTGGACGGACAGATTTTCACATTAATTAAATAATTCAGTGCCCTACAATGTATTGTTTATTAATGTGTAATGGTTTTAAACGATTCGCTGCTGCAAACGAATGCGTAGATGTGATAAACGTTGTGTAAATATTAGAATTTAGTATAAGCAGCTTATTATTTGGCAGTGTTAAATGCCCCACAGCAATCTACTTCCAGTTTAGATAGGAAATAATTAAAATAACTGCCTGTTACATCCTTTAGAATAAAATTGGTTAAATGTTGATTTTATCCAATGATATATTTAAACACGGCTCGTTCATGAAACATGTATTTCCATTAGATAATTGTTGAAAATATTATATGTGATAGTAAATAATATATGTTAAACAGAAATAATAAAAAAAATGTATCATCATTTTTGTCGATATGAAGATGTATAATAAAAAGCTACTTTATGATTTAATTTTCATAGGCCTATTTAAAAAAAAATTTAATACAATAGAATTTCTTCGAGTTAAACTTTTAATAATATTTTTTTTGTGTAAATATAAAATAATTTGTATTATATATAATTAAATTAAAACTTAGGTTTTCACGATTGTGTATTGAAAGCTTGGATTTTTCCGTAAGTTATCATTAAAAACTATAGCAATGTGGTGTCACATTGTGGTGATCGGTGTTTGTATGGAAGATTTTATTATTCCTATAATTACTACGAAGATTAATTAGAATTTACAGTTGGAAAAGTAATTGTATATGAAAAAAAACGCACTTCAATATTCAATACACAATTTAATTTGAGAATTCGTTATTTTTAGAATTCGGTGTTGCAATTATAGTCTTAGGTGTATTATAATTTACATTTTATATATTTTAATTAATTAATTTTTACTTAATGATAAGATAACGGCATTCGATATGGCCTACTTTATTTGTGATGCCTATGATGCACTGAATGCACTAAACAGTAATTTAAAAAAAGTTGTAACGAGAATTTCTGAATAAGGATCTCTGTTTTGAAAGATCCTGTGGAACAAAACAATGAATAGGTAAGTATATACATTCCAATTATAGTCCTATCGACTACTGAGTGATCAGTTAGACTTTTTCCAGTTATACTTAACCCAAAAACAATAGGTCCTCTCGAGCGGTACCAATATAAATCATCATCATTTCAGCCAAGAGACGCCCACTGCTGGCATAGGCAATATAAATATAAAGATTGTTCGGTATTATAGCACAAAAAAGGTCAACCTCGAATTGTGAGATAATATGCTGAGAACCGCTCGGGTACATGCTATATTTGGCGTTATAATGTTGTCTCGAAAGTTTCATAAAATCTTGTGTCTCCAATTAAGCGTTAAATCAATTTATCGTTTTATATTTTATTGTCTCTGTTTTTAAAGTGTTAGGATCTGGTAAAATGCATATAGGGAAATAACGTGAAATTTGTTATCCTAAACTTATAGCGTACTCAGATATTGGAAAAAATTACAATTTAAAATATCTTTACCAATTAAAAAATAGAAATGATCCATATTTAATTATTTTTCAATAATTTAATTACAATTTGATACAAGGTATTATTCATCTAAATTCATTGTTAAACTTGCCTATGAATTATCTATTTAGCGTCCATTACAAAAATTATTCAGCTTAAAAAAATGTCTATAGGAAATATAATGGTCTATAATTCTTTCATAGGTGTTAAATGCATTGGGGCGATAGAAACCAAAATAACGATTTATTTGAATCTTTGAATTTTAATAAAGTACAACGTGCAAGCAATTTCGAGAGATGTTTGAAGCATTTTTTAGGATGCCAAATGGAACTGTGTATGAGTATCCTGTATATGATATATCAAGTGAAGTTTGACCATAATTATATGTTCAACATAGTGTACGATTCACGTTTTTGAAAATATAATTATGTTTTTATTCGTTACATCTGAGAGACAGTGCAACTTCTAAAAGTTTGGGTCGGTTTTTACTTTATTTACGTCACAATATAATAGGAAATTTGTGATAAGCGAGTCCATTTATACATGTGGCTATTTCAATGGTGTTCGTGAAGAATTACAATGAAATAATGATTAATGTATAGAAAGATATGAAAACAATAATTTTTCCTGATATTATTAAGAACAGCTAACATGTTACTTGTTTTTATTTCAAAATTATCTTCTATTACATAAAACTTTGACAATATTTTATGCAGGTATTATTATCAAATTTATTGATATGTCCATCTGTTGCCAGTAGTGTCTTAAATAGATTTTACACTTGTTTAAACAATGGAAAATTGTTTCCCTAATTATTTAAAGTCAATTCAATTCTAAACCTTTTATATTTTACACAAAGACTGACCTGTTTACTTCATAAATAATACTAGCAGATTTTTTCTTGTCCTAGTATTTCTTGCAAAAATCTTTTGACACAATATTTTTTCGTTTTCGTTTCGTTTCGTTACTTAACAAGGTATATAATTAATGAAATTGCTAATGCAACTTTCAATATGTTTTAAGATTTTGACGAAGTGTAAAGAAAGTTGTAATTAGTCATCATCTACAGTCTTATTCCTAATAAGTTTTATTAATTATGATAATATTAAACCTAGTTTATATGTTTGGCTTTCAAAGCAAACCAAAAAGGTTCCAAAATAATATATTTTATGGTATAATATATTGTTATTTGCTATGTTCTAAATTTTGTACCTAAAGTATAAATTATGATATACAAACGCAACATATTGGATTTATGCAGCTAGTACTAATAAATTATGTTTTTATATACGAATCAACTATACCTACCACGGCAAAATATCTTTATCGTGATTGTCTTAAATATAAAAAAAAAACAGATTATGAATTCTTTACAATGATATTTTATAGATACGATTGCGTCACCTATCATAATGCGCGATTATATTTAACCAACGCCACGTGTCGCCACGCGTGGATTTTATATTCAAATATCAGACTGATTACATTTACCTAAAAAAACGTACATCATCGTCGAAATTTAAGCTCCTTTTCGATTTTGAAGTCGGTTTATTAACCTGATATTACATGTATCGTCTTACAAACCTGCTTTTGCATGCGACACGCGGCGTGGGATATATATAATTTCGGCTGTACTTTTATCAAAGAGTAGCATAGTTTTTTTTATGTGATTTTCTTTTATATATTTATTATATTAAAGTTTCGCTTGTAGTTGAAGCGATTTCGACAAAGAAATAAACGGATATAGTAATCTTCTATTAACAATTGCCTTTGTTGTTATATATGTTTAATATAGAATGACAACGTGATTTCATATACGTATATATATTATATATAGTTGTTTTATAAATGAAATTTTGTCATGAAGTGTTCACTGGATTTTAGCTATTGTATTTGTACATAGTGTTTTAATTTGCTACATTGAGTGTACACTTATAACTGTTATGTTACACAAATAATGTTCTATGCCTTCAATAAAAGTTATTTGTAAATAACGGTAGTTATTATTTCCATATTTTATTTTTTAATAAGATCTAGTCTTACTAGAAAGTCTTACCAATAATGCAACAACACTCGTTTAAAAAACGTTCGCCCCGCGTAGTCTACTTTTAAGTCCAAAAATGAGAAAATTCCATAAAAACTTTTATCCCCTAATTTACCCCTTAGGGGTCGAGCCTCGTTTTAGTGAGCACTTACGTCTTAAAAAGAACCCGCATTCAAAATTTGAAACTCCTAGAACTTATAGTAACGAAGTTTCATACAAATTTTCATCCCTTAATTAGCTCGTTTGCGATGGAATTTTTAAAAAAATTCTCTTATTGCTCCTCTACAATCCCTAAGTCCCTAAGGAATCTTCATTCCAAATTTAAACTTTCTACGCTCAGTAAGTTTCGGCTGTAGTTTGTCTGTCAGTTAGTAAGTCACTCAGTAACGCAAGAATTATATTATATATCATCGGTGGGGGAGCTATGATGCCATAGACATAATGTAGCCACCTTAATGTAGCCACCATTATTATCTCTTTTCATACTCGCTGACAATTCATTATAGCCCCAGAAAATATAGCTTTTCACATCATCTTCCGAAGACGTAAACAAAATATGGGAAACGGGGAATCTTGGCCTTTATCAGTATATTTATTTATTCTGCCATTCTGCATTTTTATTAACCTCCAACGCAAAAAGAGGGGTGTTTGACGAGTCTGTGTGTGTGTGTCTGTCTGTCTATGGCATCATGGCTCCCCTACCGATGAATCGATTTCAAGCGAGTTTTTTTTTTTGTATTAAAGGTGACTTATGTGCGAGTATTCTAAGACATGTTTGATGGAAATCGGTTAAGCTGTGTAAAAGTAGGGCCTGAAAGTGGGGAAAATTACTGAATGTCTGCAAATATACTCGATTACGCACTAAAAGAGAATATTGAATACTTATCGAGAGTGTTTTACTTTAAACTGTTTTATGTTATAAAAGTTAAAACGTTGAAGACTAAAATAAACATTATAGAACAATTATTAGTTATAGAAACAAAAACTAGTAATTAACAAGTAAAATGAAAGTGAACAAGCTTGACCTTAAATGTAATCTTTACCTTAAATACAAATTTGAAAATTTTCGACAAGACTCTACATTATAATAAATATGTGCCTATAAAAATTATAAAATAAAAAATACGTCACTTTGGCTACCGCTACCACTACCGCTCAAATTAAATACTAAATTATTAATATATATTTCGGTACTTTAAGATTCAATTTCTTTTATTATTTTTTTACTTTTTAAGGGAAATTAGGTTTTTGTGTGGAGTTTTTCTATATTTTTAATTTATTAAATGTACGAACCGATGGACAATACTTGTGTTAACGTTAATACCGACTCTACGAGGGTTGATTGAAAAGTTCGCGGCCTAACATTTAATCTATCGTTCATAGTTTTATTGATAATTTATTTTTGACTATTATGATGTAATATAAAATAATCTGACATTAAATAAACTATCGCCTCGTGCCTCGTGGAGACGTAGTCAAACGAGTCGCAAGTTGAATTGCGAGCGTCTGTGTTTACTCACCCGTTTCATATTTAGGTATTCGTCTCGTCATTTACGCGACAGTGTAACTCTTTTGGAATAAAAAGTTGTACTCTTATATATACAACACTGTATATGTATATAAACTTGCAAAAGTTAAACAGAGTATTACTGGAAAATATTTGCTGTGCATTTTTTTTTCCTCTAAATTTTCTTTCAATTTTTTTTTCTCTAACACATAAATACTTAAACTATTTTTATGTAACTGACCTCATTCGATTAGTTCACTCTCTGGTTGTCAAATTGTAAAATTCCATCACAATAGCATTAATTGTATTTAAATTAGACTGAACTTTGTGAGCCTTTGTGTAGTGTAGCAACGTGCTGTAATCAAATGCCTGTTTAAAAAAAAACTTACTATAAAAAGAGATTCACGAAGATATGTCAACAATATTGGGGGAATCTGCTCTTTTGTATACGACTGTGAAAAAATGGGTTGCTGAATTTAAACGCGGACGAGAGAGTATTGAAGATGACCCTCGCTCTGGCCGGCCTATGACGTCTACGACTGAAGAAAACATCGGGAAAATCTGTGATCTGATATTGACAGATCGAAGATTGACCATCAGAGAGATTGCAGACAGGCATCTCATATGAACAAACACAAAACATCATAATCAATGAACCGGGATTGAACGAAACAATCAAAGAGAATAGGCCAGGATTACTCAGCAAGAAAATGTTGTTCCATTAGGATAATGCACGCGTTCACACGTCTGTTGAATCTGTGGCTCAAATTCGTGATTGTGTTGTTGAATTACTGCTCCATCCCGCCTAATTTGGCACCTTCAGACATTCATTTATTCCCAAACCTAAAAAAACACCTTTGAGGTCAAAAATTTTCATCAAACGAGGAGGTCGAAGCTGCGGTGGGTGACTTTTTTGAAGGCCTTGAAGAAACTTTTTTTATGACCGGCATACAGGCGTTGGAAACCAGATGGAAGAAGTTCATAGAGTTAAATGGACATTACGTGGAAAAATAAAATTACTTTTGCTTATATTTTATATTGTTTTCTTGCAGAGGCCGCGAACTTTTCAATCCACCTAATATCTTTCAGGTTGATTTTCTTTCTATATTTCAGATATTTTTTTCTTTCTTTCTGGTCGATTTTCTTTCATACGAATGAAATAACTCCTCATAACGCAAGTCTTCGAGCATTTCTCCATGAATTTTGCGTAAGGATTAAATAGATTTATATTGTTTGCTAAACCTAAAATTCGTGAGAGAAAATTAAGCGTTTCTCGTGTGAAAAATAGCCTATATTTGTAGTGTAGTTCTTTCATATAAAATTCCTTCTAAGATACATCTTTTATATTATTCATAAGTTTTATACATATATTCATAAAGTTCTTCGAAGTTTCTGCGAGCACATAGTAGACTTGATGGAGTATGTAAGAAAAATTAAAGGTATTTGAGTTATTGTCAGTTTATTTAAAGAAAACATTTAATAATTTACACTGTCTCAATAAATAGAACTCTTAATAAATACCTTAAAGAAAATTTCGAGTAGGTATTATTAACAAAAAAACGGTTTTAACCAAATCCATAAATATAGCTGTTTAAACTCTTAATTACGTAAGTATTTGATTGACGTATTTTTGGAACATATAGTAGACAACTAGTCAGATGACTACAATATGTCAAATTTCAGTAATCGATTTTAAGCGTTAATCTCTTTAAAATTAATTTCAAAACCTCTTGCAGAAATATGGCCATACGTAACATGAAAATACTTTATGCTGGTGATAAGATGTAAAAGATGAGACTTCACCAAAAACTTTTAATTAATAACAAGTTCATCATTAAAATACACCTCACACTAATTTCATTGCCAACATACAAATGAAAGACAGAACTAAAATTCCGCCGGCAAAAAATATTCCATAAAACATAGAATCGTTTGAACTAGTATTGTCACCATCTAACGGCTGATTCTCGGTGTCATCTTCATCCGAAGCCTCGGTGGTTGACTTCTCCGTTATTTCTTCAACAGTACTGGTTGAACCCTCTTCTGGTGAAGTCCATGAAGAGAAGCCAAGTTCGTTGCCGACTCGTACCCGGATCCAGTAATCTGATTCTGGTTCTAGACCACCTACTGTGACAACGTAAGCTGAAACGACGATAGAGATATCAGTAAAGTCCATAAAAATATGTAAATAAAATATTGGCTCGTAATATATTAAAAAAAGATGTATAAACAAATATATACCTATTAGACAACATCACTCAGCGATAGAGGATTGATGTCAATATCTATTATACTTTACATAACTATTACATACTATAAAAAGTTTTTTAAATAAACCTCAACATCAGAAACCTCCTTTTACTCACTTACAGACTAAGATATTGGTTGCCTTTTAATAATTGAAAATATAGCTACCGTCCAATAATGTAATTATTAAGCACATTCACAATAAGGTAATTAATCCTTATTATAATAGTAACACTCAGTTGTAAAAACGTTCATTGAAATCGTCATTGGTTGAAAACGACATCATTACAAATCAATTTTAGTATATTCATTAGAGCTTAAAGTCGTCATTAAACTTTAATGGCCGTTTTGGGTGTGAGTCGGATAAATTAAACTTTTCATAATTTTACCTTTTTCATCTAGTTCCTCTTTCATTTCATAACCTATATCTTCAGGTTTCTTCCAGTCCGCTTCTTTTGGTAATCTTTTCTTTAATTTTGGTGTAACTTGAACTTCTATCTCTGAAATATAAAAAAATAATAAGCCATCAGGGATCACTCGGTTGTTGTGTGATTAGGAATTAGGAGGATGCAGTGGACTTGGCATCAATCCACACTTGTGGCATTGAGTGAGTCCGCACGTGCCCTCATACTTTGCCCTTCCTTACCTTCTGGAAGACAAGACGAAATACGTTCATGTATGTACTTGTATGCGGTAGAGGATATACGTGTAAATGGAAGTTAGGAGTATATTATTGGGTGTTTGGGTTAACAACGCATAGAACAAATAAACCAAATGAATGATAAATTTTAAATTTAATGATTATTATCTAAACCATTTCTTGTTAAATTGAATTAAAAAATTCGACTCTAATATATTTCTATTATCTGACTTACGGACTAAATAGAATTACTCCTTCATCATCCCTTTACTTTAGGTAATATTTTGGATAAAAATAAATTGCCAAGAAAATTTATTGATATTTATTTACTGCATATTGCAGAAATTTATAAAAATATGAGTTGTACTTTATAGCTGAGACTTAACTTACTTACTTAGTAAAAGTACTTACCTTCTACAGGAAATAATACCGAATCAGGCCAGCCTAAGAGAAGTGATATACTACTTTCCGTGTTATTGTAGACAAAAACCTGGAATTAATTTGATTAATAGTAATCATAAGAACAATATTGTTTCTAAATAATATTAAGAACAAATAAATCTAGCAGGAGATCTCATTTGTACTAATCCACGTTTCAGTCGTTACGTATATATCTTACTCCGTCTATCTATATCTTTCTACATATATATCTGCACCCCAGATCTGCAAGGAAACCGTATCGCCACTATGTCAGTAAATATATGCCATTTTTTCTCTTTCAAAAGTCTTTAAAAGATAATTTTTTCTCTTTAAAAGATAATCTTTCAGAAATTTATATATTGACGCTTGTAAGACACGAATGTGAGCTAGATTTATTTTCGATATTAAGTTATCTATTCAAATACAGCTCAATTTTCTGATTCTAAATAAGCTTATAACTCAATAGCGAAATATTTGTGGAAAACATATATATATATATTTCATGTGTAATGTTAATTCATGGGTTGTAGAAGTATTTTAGAAAATGTAACTCTGACTTCTAGTTCACAATTCTTTACAGAACAGTTTTTAGGATCATCAACATCATCATCAGCCTAATAACGTGCCCACTACAAGGGCACTGGCCTTCAGTATGGATGGAATCAAATAAGTGTGCTAATTTCAACATCTATCCCAATCTCTTTCAAAGGTATGGAATTGTGATAGCGATTTATGGAGTTATCTAAGGTTTAAGGTTTCTGTATAACTTGCCGCAGCGTATGCGGCAGACCGAAGAGTATAATCGGCCACTCTGCTTGGCGTTTGTCAACTACGAGTAAGCCTTTGATTCGATCGACACATGGGCGGTGATGCAGTTTCTCCAAAGGTGTCAAGTGGACTACAGGTATATCGAGGTAATAAGTGTCTGTATAAGAATGCTACTATGGCGGTCCGATTACAAAACCGGAACTCTAATCCTATCACATTGCAGCGAGACGGGACAGGGAGATCTCTCTAAAGCTATTCACCGCTGTGTTGGACGATATTTTCAAGCTCCTAGGTCGGAAAGGATACGACATCAATATTAATGGCGAGTATCTTACACACTTATGCTTTGCGGATGATGTAGTTCTAAACCTTGGAAGATCTGAACACCATGCTTGAAGATCTCAGTAGTGCATCCCAAAGAGTGGGTCTTAAGATGAACATGGATAAGGCGAAAATATTTCTCTACGTGATCAAATTAGGAATAAGGAGATCCGTAGGAGAACTAACGTTACTGAAATTGCTCAAAGCAAATTGCTTAGCTGAAGTGTCAGACACAGCGAGAAGAACTGATGGCCGTTGGGGCGGAAGAGTTCTCGAATGGCGACCACGTAGCGCGTAAATGTCAAATGTAAACAAACCTCTGGTGTCTTAGGTTTTTCTATTTTTAGTAACGTGTAATAACTCGATGCCGTGCCATATTGATTGGTAGCTTCGCAAACGTATTTTTGTCCAAAAGATAGTGGGTTGGCTAACGTCGTGAAATTTGCTTCGTTTCTAACTTTTGAGTATACTATGCTTTCCTTTGGATACTCGAATAATGTGTTATCGTCTAAAGCGTGGAACCATCTGTAAGTAGGTTCTGGATGACCACCAGCAGAACATACAAATTCGACACTGAAAACAAATAGAATATTTATAATAAGTTTCTCACGTTTGTTTCAATGATGACTAGCACACGGATTATGATAAACTCGAGAAAGGTTTGGACACGATGGATGCAACTTAAATTAAACCATGATTATTATGTATTTAAGAAAAAGAATGAGACTAAAAAGACGATCACGAAATCTTCCAATTTTATCAAAAGTTATGCAAATGAAATTGCACTAATATTATTGAAATTCTATTCTTCAGTCATAATTAAGTATATATAAACAATGAAGACGGAGAGAGGTGTCTACAATTTTAAACAGCAAATTTGAAATACTTACCTTTCGTTATTCTTGCTGAAAATTACAGTTTCATTTCGTTCAAAAACTGGTGCGTCTGCAAAATGGAATTATTCAAATTTAATCGCTAGCGGAATTTGTTTTAATATTGAAGGGGACTATTTGAACAGAAACTTTACTTTAGGTGGTTGCAATAATTATTGTTAAATTTGCAACAATATTAAACATTACTTACAATTAACTACAAGAGAGATATTGATGTGTCTAGTTAGACTACAGTCTTCGACGGTCGTATGCTCTTGGATGGCCATGCAGGTGTATTCTCCGCTGTCTTCTGGAGTCAGGGATGTTATTGTCAGAAGACCTTCAAATCCATTTCTGTTGTACTTCGTCATAATTTTGTACTTGTTAGAGTCATTGTTCTCTTGGAAAATATTAGAATCATTGCCTAAAAATAAGAATAGTTTAATGCCAATTGTAAATTAATTTAATAAAATCATAGAAGAGAATCACAAGCAGTAGAAAAACAGTTAAACATAATTACAATTAAACACAACTTGTTTCAGTATCTTTAAGTTATGGTAATCTTAATGTGCTGATAGGAAATATAAATGTACTAGGTAAGTCAAAACTTGAAATAATCTAAAATAATTGACATCACTTGAAGGATTTCTCGTCTAACGTTAAAACGACGACAAAATGACAAGGATAAATAGTGAAAAAACGGACGATGTCCTTTTTTATTATTTTATTTTATGGGGTTTTTTATCTTTTGAACCCGTCAAACTATACTTAAATCTAAACTAATTTTATGAGAATATTTTACTAGAGATTTTATACATTATTCACCACAGTTTATCTTAAATTTATCAGTAATTTACATAACTTTATGCAACGATGTCCTTTAGTGCGAAAAGGTTTTGAAATGAACTGACAATCTCATAAGATATCAAAGTAGAAGCCGCTTGATGCGGACAGTGCAGAACCAATAGATAGTTGTGAAGATTATGTCTATTATTAAAAAAATATTAAAATTTTACTAGAAATTTCTTGTCCGTTCCTCATCCACACTATCCTAGGTTCGGGTTGACCTCTCGCTTGGCATGATAAAGTATAAGAACGACCTTCGTCCATTGACACTTCAGTCGGCGTATCTACAAATTCGGCTGGTCCTGAACAAAAAATACACCAAAAACTTATCATAACTTATGTACTACACTCTGCTTAAATATGTCAAAAGTTTGGTTAAAGTATAGTATACTTATATATTTCGTTCGATTTTTAATAGTTTATATTGCGCAGTATTATTAATAAAAGAAAAAAACTGGCTCATTAAATTTAACCCACTGAATGACCAAACTTCGCATTATTTCTTTTTATAAATACTGCTTTCCGCCAGCGGCTTCGCCCACGTGGGCCCTAGAGAACTGTTTATTTGGATATCGATTCATATCATAACACTGATATAATTAGAATGACAAATTGAATAGTAAACTAATAATGACGTTATAATTCCCCATACAAATTTCCACTCACATTTTCATCCCTTTATTTGCCATTTTCAGGACAAAATATAGCCTATGTTCACCACATATATTGGTAGTATATACGTAGGTGAAAGAATTTTTAAAATCAGTAGTTTCGGAGCCTATTCGATGCAAGCAAACAAACAAACAATCAAATATTTTCTCTTTATAATATTATTATAGATAATTTATATAACAAACTTCAAAAAAATGAAATATCGTTCATTTTTGCAATATTCAAGTTATGGAGTTTCTCGTAAAATTTAGTGTATGAAATGTTTTATAAAAAAAATCAATCTTTAGAACCTAATAATTCCCATTTCGTTAAGAGAAGTTATTCATGTATGTAAGTAAATCTTGTAATTCATTTGTTGATGTAGGATTGCATACAAAACATACTTATTCCGAATAAGTCAAATAATCTAAAGTTTACTATTTGTTTTTAACATCATAATTTCTATAGAATTGCTATTATATTTGACTAGGTACTAAATACAGATTCACGGTTTTAAAACAATCAAAATCTTGTGTTATTGTGTAAATAATTTTAAAAGATACGAATGAATCGTTTGTGGAAATTTAAAACGTTAGTAATATCCTCCAATCCGCATTGGGCCCGCGTGGAGTGTTGTGGGCCATCCTCCTTAACCATCCATAAGGAAGGCCTGACGCTCTGCAGTGGGGACGTAACAGGGCTAATGATGTTAAAATATATAGAAAGACTTGACATTTATAATCTATAAACTTATAATAATTCTCAATCAGGACTTTAGTTTCATACCCACCAATAACACAAAGTGTTACTTTCTTAGAGACATCTCCAGAACGGCACTCGTATTCCCCAGTATCATCGACCTCTGTATCACTGAATATGAGACTCAAAGTATATGCCCTTTGAGGCCCAGGGTGTTTTTGAGTTGCGACTCTTTTCTTGAGTGATAGTGGAATTGTATTACCAGAAGGATTTATCCATTCAACCTGAAGTACATAAAAATTCTTGTCCTTATCCAAGATGACAGACAGTTCGATAAGGCTTGCATATTAGAATAAAATTATAGTTGAAATTTTAGTAGGTTTAGTTTGATTATAGTTCTCCTAGCCGTTTCAAAAAAGATGTAACTATAAATAGCCATAGTTCAAAGAATCATGTAGTTCGAATCCCATTAGTATCGAAAAAAATTGTTTTGCATGTCTTACATATAAGGTAATGTAACTTTATTAGCATTAGTTTCATAATAATTTGAAACTCAATTCAAATAAAACTAATGCGTGAGTTTTATTTGAAATGAGTTCCAAATTATTATCAAACTAATGCTAATAGAAATATCAACATATTTTATGCCATATTATGTGCTCAATAGTTATTCAATTATCTACAGTATTTATTATAAGGAACCGAGACTGGCGTACAAAGTACATATGAAGACTCGACATGTTTGCGATTGCAATCTTACCGAATTCGGTCGCTAACTTGCAAAGCTTATTACAATTCTGTACAAAATAGATGTATAGTTTTTTTTCAGTCGCGTACCTAATTTAATTGTAAAATTATTTATCGATAGGTATTATATTTAGTTTAATAACGATCGCTAAACCCACTTAGCGAGTTATAAAAATTTGTCACTAACGAAAATCAATAACTTAAATGTTGAATTATGTAATATACCACAAAAAAACCGAATGTATGGTCTTTTGAATTACTTGTAGACTTGCAATAATTATTAAAATAAGAATTTGGTACCTATAAAAAAGATACAAAACAATACAATTACAGATATAAAATTGACGAATTCAAATTATATCCATATAGTTAAATCAATAAAGAAAATCACTTGTTGGTTTCTTATGTACAAAAATTTGTTCAACGTATAATAGTGTTAAGAGTTTCATTGTAAGCAAACGTTTATGTGTGCCAAGAAATTTAAGAAACATAAGCTGAAAACTGTTCCAAGCTTCTGTTTGGAATATTCAAGTTACACGCACAAATCATTATAATAATTACCAATAAAAGAAGTAACGACTGTAGACCCTTTAATACGAGAATTGCGAGAACGGAATTCGAATTTTGGCTCATTTAAAGTTCAATTTAAGTTGGGTAATTTATTATTAATATATTTTATATCTTTTATACTACTGAACTGATTATAATAAAACTATAGTGCGTAAGTTGAAAGCTTATTAACTAACCAAAAAAGATTCATTGCGATCCGATGTCTAAATTGTAAGAATTATAATAAATTCACCTACTAAATCTGATGCACATACTCATAAGATCTTACTTAAAATAGTACGAGTCCAACAATATCACATACAAATTAATAACTTCCTTTTTGAAATGGGTTAAATATAGAAAAACAAATTAAAACTCATAAATCAACCTTACACGTATATGTTAATATTATCATCGCTAGGTCAACTTACCTTTTGATATTTATTCGTATATTTGCATGCTATTGATTTATAGCTATTGGGCGGAACATACGTTTCATATTCACCATAATCAATTGGATCTACCGTTATACTTCGAACATCCGTTAATTTGACACCGTACACTGAAAAAGAAGTGAAAATACGTCGTAAAATATATTTATAACCAACAAAATCAATAACCATACTTTGACCGTTGTTCCCAGCAGTACCTACTGGTGTTAAGATATGGTGCAAACCGTATTACACCAGTACGCGATGGATAATACGTTTTGTGTGCAAGACTTAATATAATATCATTATAGGTATTATTTTTCAATTCTGACGTTCCACATACGCGACGCATATTCCGTAAAATATGCACCGACTCTAATACCCACCTATCCGCCCTGGGCCGCGTAGTGAGTTATGGCCTATTATATCCTAATATAAGGCAGAAAGCCATTTTAAGCTTATGACCTAGTTTTGACCAACGGTTTTTAGTTTATCCATAATGTAACATTTTAAAAACCATTCACGTTAAAGTACTATATTTGCCTATGTGTTAGTCAGAATGCCTTGAAGCGTCAAAATGGTCAAAAAGGAGACAGTGGCCAAAACCGGATCTTCTGCCCTAATTCTATTATGGAGAAGACCCACGCGTCAAAAGTGAGAATATGAATAGACTTATAAAGAATATGAAAAAATAAAAAGCACAAGAATAGATACAATAATAATGAAAAAAAAAACTAAGATATATATCTCTCCGAAAATCAATACAATAATATGTTAAAATTAATCTAATTTTAAATTTAGAATCATTATTAATTTAAGAGTTATTTATTTGCTATTTACCTGCTCTATAAGCCATATAAATAAAGACAATCACATAAAATACCCACTTCATTTTGTTAATAGTTAACAGTTCATTTTAATTCACAGAAAAAAATACAGAGATATTATCACTGCGGTGGATGGAAATGGACTGTGTCCATCTGAAACTGTATGGTATCCACAATACGTAATATTTTAATTGTGACACAAATTAACACTAATAGGGGGATATTGCGAATGTCCTCTATCCGGAAAAGGCACTTATATTTGTTACGTGTGAAATTAAAAAGGTCAATTCGCCAACCTTGTAAATATAAATTAGATATTGTTTTTTTTTATAAATTGTTCTGATGTACACCAGAACAATTTATAATAGTATATACCTTAATAGTAATTTAAGTTGGTTCACTGATGGACCTACAACTAGGGTAACTCACAATTGTATGTTATCGAAAATAATTTAAAAAAATATATGAGTAGTTTTATTCATAATTTAATTGATTTGATTATTGAATACCTACTTTTCTTAAGAAAAATATAAACTAATAGGAATAAAAAAATGCAACGTAAAATCAGTATAGACATACAAATTTTATTATCATTTTCTTTTACATTCGCTATGGCCGGTCATAGACCAAAATTGATTATCTGAAACTCCTCCGTACTTCGAAAGACACGTTAAGCCGTTGATCCCAGCTGCAACTGTGGTTTTTTTTTTTTTTTTAAATGCCCGGCCTTACATTTTTGGCCGAGCTTCCTGGCTACACCCCACTGTTGAGCAGGCCTTTCTTATTCTGTTTTCTCTTGCATTCCAGTTCTCGCTTTTTTACACCTTTCATTCCGCATTCCTGATCTTTCTGTCATTCTATTCTCTTTCATTCCTCGAGTGACTGGGATTTGTCACATCTATCTCTATTTCTAATCCTAGCTAATTTTTTTTTATTTTTTTTATTCTATTTATTTTTATTAATTAATGGAGACTCATTTTCTTTATTTTGATTTCCTTTACATATATCTTACATTTTTATTTATCTTTTCTTATTCTAGCATGCTTATTTCTATTCATTTTATTATTATTATTTATTTTTATTTTTTTTCAGTTTATTTACATTTTTATTGATATTACATATTTCTTTGCATTTCTTTCTTTTTTTTACTTATACAATTTATTTCTGTTTTACATATACTTCTGTTTTACATATTTCCTATACCTTTTATTTACATTGTTCTGTGACTTGTCTTTATCTTGTTTGGACTTGGTCCTTACATTTCTTACTAATTGCTTATTCTAATTTTATTTCTTTTTTTTACAGTCCTTTTTATTCCTTATATTCTTTCTTTTTACATTATTAGTACTTATGACTATATTTTATTTTGTTTGGACTTCTGGTCCTTACATTTTATTGTGTTTTCTTTATCTACTTATAATTCTATTTTACATTTATTCCTTGCTCTTGTGTTATTTACATCCTCTCTTATATGTTTTCTTAGTTTAATCTTAACATTTTCTGGTTTTCACTTATTATAATTATATTACTATTAATATTTTCTTTAACAATATTCCTTATATTTACTTATTCTATTTTTTATGTTTGATTTTTCCTGCTTTGTTTTTTATATTTTTATTACCTTTTCTTTTCTTTTTCTTGCTTTTTTATTCTATCTTGTTTATCTATAATCTATCTTTATTTATTGTTTACATTGTTATTCTATTATTAATTATTTTTGCCCCCTTAGTCTTAATTCTAGTTTACTACTTCCTGTCCTGTTTCTTTCTTTCTTTGTTTATTTATTTTCTACCTTATTTTTGTTTTATATTAATTTTACTTATTTCCTATTGTTTTCTTTGTCTTGTCCTGTTATTTATATCTTATTTTATTTATTCAATTGTATAATTGGTCACTTGAGTATATGCTAATCATATACTCTTGTGTTCCTAACTTATCCTGTTTTCTTATTTTTATTCTTAAGTTTTTACTGTGTAGTGTTTTTTTTTTTCAGTTTCCTTATATTCATTATATTTCTACTGAAATATTTTTGTGTGTGTTGTGATGTGTTGGTATATATGTTGTGTGTTGCTAGATGTATTTTGGCATTCTGGTCCTTCATTTTTCACAATGCTTTTCCAGAGTGCCTTGTTAATTTTCCGTGTTATGTGTTTGTTTTTGTGTATATTATGTTGTTGTTTTGTATTAGTGTTTTGTTTTTTATTTTTAGTGTTTTTGTTATTGTGTAGTGTTCCTGTTTTAATTGTATGCTGTCGTCGATCTAGCGAGAAACTCCCACTTATCTCTGACTCTACATTCATGACTAAATGCATTATGCTCGGTGTCCTCCAGTTGGGCGTGCACACAGTTGCAGCACCTCGGTGGTTCTCCTTTTTCCGGGAAATCTGCTCGGATGTGGGAGTTCCCGCAGTGGCTGCATCTGTCCGCACTTTCTGTGCAAAATTTCCGCCCATGTCCAAACTGGAGGCACCTTGTGCATTGTATAAGGGGTGATTGGTCTTCGATTTTTAATCTTTCCATGTCTATATATAGACGGCCTTGAGTTGTCATTTTTGCCCAGATGTTCGGCTTTGTCTGTAGTATCAGGTGGCAGCGTTCAGGGTTTCTCGCTTTACGTCTGAATTTTATTTTCATGTCCTTCTTTTTCGGTGCTACGTTAAAGAGCTCGGGGTTTTGTTTTATGATGGCATCTAAGATATCATCATCAGTCATCTTATATTTAAGGTCTTTTATTATTACCAGCGGATCTTTGTTCTTCACCGCTTCTACCTTGATGTTCTTGGCATTTTTTAGTTTTCCTCCACTTTTTTAATTTCAGTTATGTTGCTGCATCCGATGAGTATCTTTTGGTCTTTTACTTTCCTCACTCTATCGATCCTTATTTCACCACCTGTGGTGAAATAAGATATTAACCACAGATGCAGAACCAAGTTTTGCATCTGTGGTTAATATCACCAATCCGCACTGGACCTGTGTGATGGGTCATGGCCCATTCTCCCTTTTCGATATGATTCGATTTCATCTATAGGGAAGGCCTGAGCCCGAGCGTTGAGACATAAATAGACTGATGAAGATGATGTTATTATATTTTTATATTGAATTAGATCTAATGACTTTTATTCAAACACTCTATCAAAATAAAATATATATTTTTATTGACATAGGTATAAATATTTACGAATATCATATATATTCCTATTTTTCGGAATCAATGATTTTGATTATTTTAGTTACAAGTTTTAGTGTTTCTCGGAATTGAATTAAGTTTGTATAATTTAAAATATGAACAAAAAAAAACTCAAATTTAGATAAAGCTATTTTAAAACTGAAATAAAACAAAATATATAATCAGGTGATTTTCCGCGACTTCGCCCGCGTATGATGTAGTTTTCCGTAGGAGGATGAATTCTCATTAGTATTTTCGATTATTATATTAGAGTATTTCCTACAAACATACAAAATTAGAAACTTTTACCTTTTTATAATATAGTATAGATTAACATCACATCCTATTGATGAGGAAGTATTTAAAAAAAAATAGTGCCCGAAATCAAACTAGACTCTACGGTACTTTCTTGATTTCTCCATGACAACACTTCCGGTTTTTACTCAACTGCGTGACGTAAGGAAGGGTAATGTGTTTATCAGTATATGTATGTATGTATGTATGTTTGTTTCTATGTGGCATTCTAGAGACCAAATGCGTAGGCCGATTTTGATGATTCTTACGTCAATGGATTCGTCGTAACCTTGCGAGTGTCACTAAAGACATGACAGTAATCAAAATTCACCACACCGACAACCAGACGCGATATTGTCAAAATGAAAAAAACAATCGATGGACTATGTCAAGTGGGCTGTCGTTAAATAAGTATTTTAAAATAATTTTTAGGTTCCTTTTATCATTTTTCATTTTAAACAATAGTTTAGGATATATAACGATTTAAAGTTGTTTAACAAACGATATTATTTTCCTCAATAAAAAGACTAGATTGCGAAATTTATCATCTTATAACGAAATCAACGAATCGTAACTAAAAAGTATAGAATAAAAATAAATAATTTAAAGAAAAACAAAGACCGGACTGCGTAAAAACGAATTCAAATAAATAAATGAACAAATTAACTTCAATAAAAACTAAAAATACATTTCTTTTTGTCGCTAAAAAGAAAGACAAAACGAACTTTCTTTTTAGTTTTTATTGATTTTGAAGTTAATTTGTTTTTTTTATGTGATAGGCGGCAGACGAGCAGACGGATCACCTGATGGTAAGTGATTACCGTCGCCCATGTACACCTGCAACACCAGAGGGGCTACAAGCGCGCTGCCGGCCTTAGAAGGAAGGGTTGAGGGGTAGAGGGAAGGGAATAGGAAGGGGTACACTCATTCACACGACGAAACACAACGCAAGCGTTGCTTCACGTCGGTTTTCTGTGAGGCCGTGGTATCACTCCGGTCGAGCCGACCCATTCATGCCGAAGTTTTTTTTCTATATTTATTGATAGTTGTTTTTCTTTAAATTATTTCTTTTTACTGACAAAAAGAAATTTCTTTTTAGTTTTATTTAAGTTAATTTGTTCATTTATTTTTTTGAATTCGTTTTTACGCAGTCGGGTATTTTGTTTTTCTTTAAATTATTTATTTTTTCTTTCATGTATAAAAGCAAATTAAATTTCAAAACTCAATAAACAACTCATATTCTACTTGTATTTGTATTGATATCTAAGTTTCGAATTTCAGTTATTTTAATATGTTAGATAAAAGGAAAGGAGATGACTATATTTGGTCCATTCGTTTCCTGCAAAAATCAACTTTTGCTAGAGTCGCCATCTAGAGAAGTGCTTTTTTAGTGCTTTCTTTTTTTTAAATACTTTCTTGTTGTGAAATGAATAAAACTTTCTTATTGGTTATAACTATGAACAAAGGCATTCGCAACCCGGTAGTGCGAACTTTGTACCTTAAATATATGTATAATTAATAAAAAGCAGTTCTAGTTGTTCTATTAGTCATCTCATTATGTTAATACACAATGCTTGCACGTGATTTTAACTAGTTAAATATTTAAATGGGATTCCCACACAAACGTCGATTCATTGCCATTTTATACTAAGTAATTGAATATGATAAAAAAATACCTCAATGTAGA